GACTGCAAAGATAAGGCAAAGCTAACCAGTATTAGTCAGGAACATATTGCTCTCTGAATACAGCCACAGTATTATGCAGTGTATGCAGCCAGTGTACTTCCAGATGAGTAGTCTGTAAAGAATGATGAAGCCAAGCTGGTGAGATAAAGGTCAAATGCAAAGTGACCTTAAAAATATGACAGATTCTTTTAATAAAGCATGACTAATTTATTGCCTGTTCCTTTGCGTGACATCAGCAAGAAGTCAAACTATTTCTCCTTTACGTTTTTGCATATAACCTGATTTTTATAACATTTAAACTGATATAACTGTTAACGCTATCAGAATAAAATTATATACCTTCAAATGAAATTGATTCCAACTTTAAGTAAACTGAGTTCTAGTTCAGTTAAACTAGTTCATGTGACTTTTGTTCAGGTTTAGGTTATTTAGTTTTAAGTTTAAAAGTTTAAACTTTAGTTTAAAGTACTTAACTGGAGAAACTGAGTGCTCCTCAACATGTTTTTCTAGGTACATTCTTTCCCAAACTGAACGTCTCTAAATTTGCATGTACTTACACATACACAGACTGTCTGATCTGCAGACTCCCAGAACACAGCTCCCAGTGGCCTGTCTGCCATACAAGACCACTTATTTCTCTAGTATTTTTAATGCAAGTGTTCAAAGTTGGCTAAAACCACAAAATACATTTTGTGGCTTCTGCAGAAGCCTACTGCTCATCTTTTGTTTTGCAAAATTTAACTTTCACCCTGGTCTCATGTGGCAGCCACCTCCTTATGTGATCTCAACCTCAGAGACATGCAGACACATGACTGGTTCCCAGGCTACTTCACCTACTTGCTGACTAGTTCAGCTTGATCTTCACTAGCAATCCCACACAGTTTCACACGCTCATGTTCCCTGCAGTTACAGGCTCCATGGACACACAGACCCTCTGACCCATGGTCCCACTCCAGTGTCTGGTACCCAGACCCTCATTTGCTCCAGTTGTTGAAAACACAGACATGTGGGCTCGCTAACCTGTCCTCTGACCCAGTTGCTGGCAGTTGGACCCTCATATACACATGGACACAGAATAGAGCCCCTCACACAGGGAGATAGAAATGGAATTTAGTAAGACAGGACATGCAGGACATGACCAGACAATTGTACTGTAGAGCCAACTATATACATGTGATCGGCCCTTTTTGTCCCCTTATCCCACTATTTTCTCACACCTGTTCCTCCTGAAATCACCTAAATCTATCCCTTTCCCTGCCTTTGGTTCCTCCCCTAAACATCCCGTAAGAAGTCGTGCTCAATCCCATGTGTCCCATACCTCTAGACAGTAACCCCTATTAGTCTGAAATGTGCTCCAGCATTGCCTCATCTTGATGGATGTCACCCCTGGACCATGGGGTGGAGGCTTTCGCAGGACAGACCAGGGTGCCCTTCCTCTGAGTCTGTAATTTGGGTTCCTGCCTGCCCTTGTGCTGCTGCGCTCTGCTGGACTTGGAGAGATAGGTCTTTAATGCTCTGATGGCTCTTCTGTGATAAGCTTGAGAGTAGCTGGGCTAGAGTATTACTTGATTCTCCCACCTGCTGTTGTCTCTTTGTGCTCCTTTGTTTATCACATAACCTAATACTAACATGAATGAAATTTTATATAGTTTCTATCTCAGTACTGTTCTACCCTGTTCTTCAGGTAGTTCACAATCATGATGACCTCATATACAGGTTCTGTGATTTCTTGCCTCACAAGTTTCTGTAGAGCTGCTTCTTAAGTCCAAACTCTATCAAAATTTGCTTCTTTAAGACTTTTTCTATTTCCTTCAGTTGCAATTGTTCTGTTCTGCTAAGGTTATTCAAAGGATAAGGCCACACTGACTCTTTTTAGACGAGGCTATGATACTCATCATGGCTAAGGGTATTCTGGATATCCAAGACTTGTGTGTCTCTCTATATGTCTGGGATTCTTCCTGTTCTCAGCTACATGCTGAACTTCTGTCATTTATAGTCAGCCTTTTCTTAGTTCTTTCCACTGGAGAAAGTGTGGATGGCAGATTGGATTAATGACTATACTAGCCTTGTGCTTCTCTAATAAAAAATACAGTTAGTAACAGCAAGAATGGTAATAGGTAAGTATACTAGGTTATCTGTATACTTTTAAATGCTGCCACCCTACTCCAAATTTTATTCAGGGCAGATGTAGTCTGTTAAATCTGCCAGTGTTCATTTAGCAGTGATATTTCATAAAACTTGAAAAACAGTAATTTCAGGTAAGATACTGGTTTTTGAGTCTTATGTTGTTGGACATGATGCCTTTGTTCTACATGCTTTTTTAAATTACCCGTTTTACTTCCACGCTTATCACATTAAGTGCTGATCCTGCTATTTGTATATTCGGAAAAAGATCTTCTTCTAACCAACTGTTTTAGCTTTTCGTGGAGGAAAGAAGCATGATCCGTAGAAGATAAACATAACAGTAGCGCTAAATTAATAATGTTGTGTATTTATGAATTTTTCTTCTTTTGTACTGCTTGATATCTTTCTTTATGGATATGACTATTACTGCACATATCATTCCTTAGACAGATTTTCAAAAGCGAAACCAAAT